ACTAGGCAATGCTATCTTCACTTTACATGCAGGACTTACACTCCTGCCGTAGCTCAGTTGGTAGCGCGCACGTCTAGGAATGCCGACCGTCTTAGTTTGAATCCAACTAGGATAAAGAAATTGTTTGTACGACATTACCGCGCAGCGATTCAAATATCACGTGACGCTTGTCGCAAGACACACAGGGAAGAAATTAATACACGCGAAAATGCGTTACTCACCACAAATCCCACGGCGACGAGCGACACGTCTTTATGCCATCATCGTGACAGTGAATTTTTCCCACAGCACCCTCTGGCTGAACAATCCTGAGCTCTAACCTCATCACATGTTGCGAAGAGACCTGCGTTGTGATTCCTCGGCATTTATACCTACCGTCTTACGAAATGACAATTCGCTGCACTATTGATTGTATCAATCTTTGTATTGCAATATTTAGACGTCTATCCCCTGCACACAAAGCTCTCGCAAGGTAACATTCCCTTTTCTGCTTTAGCTCCTCGAAGGTTGTTAGATAGTTGTCTGATATTTTATAGAACTCTTTACAACCGAAACTCAAACAATTAACGGTGGGCGTATTTTTTCGGCCTCACTTACATTCTCCCGAAGGCCCATCTAAAGCTCACGAAGCACTTACACTTATTCCAAGCTAATAATGTAATCCATGTTAACAGCCAAGATAATTTTTTAAAGTTAACTATATACTATTTTAGAGAACAATGCTGAATAATAATATCAGCTTAGGCACTTACTTATTCCATTGAATAGCCACAGTTATCTTAGCCTAATCTTCGAATCATTGACACCATTGCTCGCTTCTGAACTGCAGGGGAGAATACTTTTTTTAATACTCTACATTCATATTTTGCTGAAAGTGTGTTTAGAAATTAAAGAACATTACCATTTGTAGCTTTTTAGTTGTGGTACACTCCGAAGAAAAAAGCAGACCTATTATGGATCACTTTTTTTAACAGTTGGTACCTTGTGTATGCAGCTCTACAGTGCCGAGATAGTTACGGAAATTGGTCTGGAATATAATCTTGTAGCCCAACTCGCTCGTAACAGGATATACTCGGTCTTTGAGCGGTTGGAGCCTGAAGCCAACAAAGTTGTTTTGCGTTAGAAAGGACGGTTGGAAATCTGTGTAGTCGTCTCGTTTCTCACAAGAATTAGGGAAGGTGTGTTTAATTTCTCCCTCCACAAGATTTAGAGGATCTATTTATTTTTATCTCACGGTCCCTATTATATTGAACTATTTGTGAGGGACATCATCCGCGAGTTAGCTGAGATGCGGTCATAGACTCTTGAGCTGATCAAGTTCGATAGGGACAATTTTGATGATTGTAAATAGTTGCTTTGTTAATATGCAGTTTTATGTTTTCAGTCATGAACCCAACTTTTTACTTGACCCTGAAGCTTTGACTTTGCCGGCATTGGCTACCCCCTGGTTCCCTATTTTCCCTACCCAAAGAACTGAGCTTAAAAAGAAACAGCGAGATCCGAAAGTGTTGATCCACTGAACTGCTGTCAATATGTAAATAACATAGGGAGTTTAAGAGGACGCCCGCTTCCTGACTCCGAAACGTCCCTGCCCGTGATCCACCAGGTTCCTAGCTTGGCCTGGCCCCAAGATTGTCGTCAACATGGTTCAGAGGCTCGGTCACGACAACAGCTTGACTCCCGATCAATAGAAGAAAAACATGCCCTTTCGGCGGCTCTGTGCAATCCACTGGATGGTATATTGTATCAACGGGAACATCTCCATCGTTCCACGGTCTTCATAATGAAAGATCCCTACTAACAGTACTCGGACAGTTTAGTCCATTACGCCACAGAACGAGCAGGTTATTTCATGGGATGCTGTCCGGACGCCATGGTAGAAAACTGGCTGATCTTCTTACCTGACCTTTCGATCATTAGACAAAAGCATATTTTTTGCGGCTGCTTTCTGCATTCTGCTGGATGATCATGCCGCGAAAAAAGCAGGTTATTGCATTGGATGCTGTCCTGTCACCGTGGTAGAAAATTGGCTGATTTATTTCAACAAGTACTTTGGGCAAGCCGCTGTATTTAGTCTTAACTACCCAATGCAAGGAGAAGATTCTCATTCAGCTTTGAACATTTCGAGAAACGAGAGCTTCGTTCGCATAAACGTTACCTCTTGGAACTTCGCTGCCTAAACCATTATTGTTCCGATTGATTCCTGAGGTAAGCTGCAGAAAGGGGGGGGGGGGGGGGGGGGGCGGGGGGATGTTGAAATCTATGCCGGGTTTAACTTGTCCATCGGGATATCATTTACCAAGACACGATGTGCCACTCACATCCACTTTTGTATACACTGTAACTCACGGCCAACTCGGGTACGTAGGAACGAACTCACCAAACGCCTGCTAGCACAGGTGCCACCTGCAGAGCGTCCAAAAGTTTGACGTTCAGAGTTGTCGACATGGTACACGTTTATATCACCATGTTGCTTCTCAAGTTATTCACTAACGGAGCCCTTCAAAGTTTTAACGAACGTGGCTCCCTTCACCGTCCAGTTTTGGAGGCGATGACAATCCCTAAGGTATTGGAATAATCCCTGTGTCAACGAAATTAGGCGATTTTGTCATTTTGTATGAAGTGTTGGTGGTGAACATTTGACGGTACAAACAGCGGGGCGCTTTGGTGCTCCCTGCTACATTGCCAAAACGGCTGGGGTTCGTGATATTGGTGTAGGGCAGTCGCCTTTTATTTAGTGGCTTTCCTCAGTGACCCAAGCCCTAAAGGAAGTTCAACAACGAACACTGAGATCAGCCATTCTGTTCCTCTAGGTCTGTGAATACATTGAGGTGCCAACTACTATGCCTGTCACAACTAGGTTGCTCACGTGACATCTGTAGAATAAAAAAAAGATATATATATATTATATCAACTACGCATCCAACTCGGGTCATCGCCTCCAACTCAGGGCAGTGTGGTTAACGCGCTTGACTGTCGCGCGGAAAGTCTAGGTTCGATTCCAGACGGTGGAATGTTGTTTTATTTATTCTTTCAACATTGCGTTCTCGTGAGTTAGAGACCGCTCTCGACTATCCGAGTTCCGAATGTTCTAGTCGCCGAACGTTCTAGGCCGATTGTTCCAGAAGCCAACGCGCGTTCTTAAGGGGCTCCACGTGGCGATCTGCAGTCAGTCTCGCTTCAGTGTTCGACTCTGCTCTTACGCCGACTTCGACGCCCCCGACGCTCTGCTGTTATTTTCTGTTTCCTTTTTATTTTTGGGCACGAGTTCGCCCCATTAAACGTTCACTTTACTCAGTCATTCGCCGCCTTATCAGTTGTCATTCGTGACAATATTGTGCTTAAGACCGTGCACATACAATATGTCTACGCATGTATTTCTATTAATTTAAAGTAACATTTTCTACCAATGTATTTTGCCTCCGAATGACTGCCGCTTCGGGTTAATATTTGTTTTCCTGTACCCGGAAGATAAAAATGTGAAAATGCACAGAGGGATCGTCTCTTTTTTTAGTCTGCAGTGGGGCTATTTAAATGCGGACTTATATGCAACTCAAAACACTTTTCTTTTCATCACACTTTATTTAGAAAGTCCGCAAGTCGGAACGTCTTGGCGTGATAAAATTTATTCCCTAAGGGAAGGGTCTTCCTCCGCCCAGCCGTCTACCTTGATCAACATTCAGGGTACATCGTCAAAGATAGGTTAACTCACATATGATGCAAGTTTCTTCACAGTCGAGATCGAATTCCATAAATGCATGGATGTCTGCTTCCTTGAGGCAATATTTTAGGTTCAGTTAGGGTCTGATTCCTGCCCATCTTTACGCCGGAGGTTTTGAGGAAATTAAGTTTTGTAGAGGCACGTATCTACAACGTTGATTTTATATATCGATGAAATTCAACTTCTACGTTCAAGGTCAGTACTAGCGTGCAGTTTCTGTGCGATTTTTATTCAGCCACGCCGAGATCGACGGCGATCAGGCATCCCATTTCAAGAAAAACCATGATGAGAATTACCATTCTTTAACGCCCAGCGTCGCGAATTTGCGACATACCGAATATACGCTCCACCCTCGTTTACGCGTAGAGCTTCACAGCGAGTTTCGGTTTCAAAATGCTCCCTGCAGGTGGCGCGTCCAAATACAAACGCTTGGCGCCATCTCGGGACAAGTTTTTGAAGGATAAACGTAGGAACGTCGAGCCCGACGTCAGGCACGTGGGCCAACTCGTTCTTTCAAGCTCTTAGGAAGAAATATAAGGTGAGAATCTTTGCACAAATAACTGATTTGAGTTGAAGCCACTTTCAACATCACCAGTTGTGTTATTAGAAGTGGCCGATTTTTCGGATTGTCTCGAATTCGCGAGAGTCGTCATTTGCGCCGCATCTGCCATGTGGAGCGTATAGTAGAAAATGTATTGAAACTGATCGCGCAGAATCATTTTCCCATCTCCTTTGACAGATAATCGACACTCGATCTTTTTACGGATCGAGTCGGCTCAGGGCGCGTGTTCCACCGTGTGACGAGAGTGACGACAGCTGCGTCAGTGAAAGCGACGACGAGGATCCTGAGTACACATGCACTTTACTAGCGACAGCTACTCGTCCTTCGGATACAAGGAGCAGCAGCCGCGAAGACGAGGAGGACGGTGAAGCAACTCAATCCGAATGTACGCCTAGTAGTAATGGAAAACAACCTATAGAGTGGAGGAAGACATCCTGCTCAGAACAACGTCAGATGCCTCAGTAGCAGGGCTCTCTACCTCAGAGTGAGTGTGTAAAGTCTCCGATCGAGTACTTCCGAGAGGTTTTTTATGAACCATTCCTTGAGCACATTGTGCAACAGAGCAATCTCTTTTCCGTTCAGAAACACCCAAACAAGCCCCTCGGCTTGACGAGACTTGAGTTTTTAGGCACTTTCTCATTGATGCCTATATACAGCCTGCCGAGAAACCGTCTCTACTGGTCAGCCGATTGCAGAATACCTATCATCGCTAATGTAATGTCGCGGAATCGCTGGGAGAAGATCAAGGCTAACCTCCACTTCAAGAACAATGACAGCATGCCTTGCCCGAATGACCCTCACAGGGATCGTCTATTCGATGTGCGACCTCTCATCGATCTTTTGTTGCCACAGTTCGGGAGCTTTCCTCAAGATCAAGCCTTGTGTGTAGACGACCAAATGGTGTCCTTCAAGGGTCATTCAAGTCTGAAGCAGTACATCCCCAGTAAGCCCCATAAATGGGGACATAAAATGTATGTACTCTGCGACTCACGAGACATCGTGCACTTGTTTGACATCTACACAGGGACGATAGACCCAGTGCCAGGAGAGCCAGGCATAGGGGCAAGCGGAAACATAGTTTTGAAGCTTGCGCAGGTGATTCAGCCGGGCCTGAACCACTTACTATTCTGCGATAACTGGGTCACGTCGTTGAAGCTACTCACAACTCTGACAAAAACAGAAAGTCCTTTGTCTCGGGACAGTTCAATCAAACCGCCTTCAAGGTTGCCCGCTGCCAAATGATGAGAGTCTCAAGAGGAAGGACGAGGAGCCTATGAAGAATTTGAGCCCTCGATTGATGGCCAAAAACTGATCGTGGTGAAGTGGTATGACAATCGTGCTGTAACCATTGCATATCCCTTCGCTGATGATCAGCCCGTCGTGCCATCGGAGACGTGGGACCGGTCACAGAAAAGGACCGTGAACACTGACTCGCCATGCACCGTGCAAACATACAACAAGTTCATGGGCGGCGTCGATCTGAATGATTGCCTCATCGCACACTACAGAATCTGTATGAAGTCGAAGAAGTTTTACCTCAAGTTATTTTTTCACTTCATTGATATCGTGATTGCTGTTTGCTGACTCCTGCACCGACGTGACTGCAAGTCACTGGGCGTCCTTGCCGAAGCACAGGATGATCATCTAAAATTCAGGATTAACATAGGAGCGTGTTTTTTGAAGCAAGGAAAGGATACAGCCGCAAGACGCAAGGGAAGGCCGTCATCATCCATACAAAGCAGCCTTTTGGCGAAGAAAAAGAGGGGGCCAATGAAAGTAGTTCCGGTTGCAAGCGTGAAGACTGACAAGACAGTGCACTGGCCAGTCGTCAAAGAAGCTCGGCAGAGGTGCAAGCTACCACACGGCAAAGGTCAAACAGTTTTTATGTGCGTCAAGTGCAACACACACCTGTGCTTGAACAAGAACAGCAACTGTTTCTACGATTTACAGCAAGACTAACGCCATCCAAGTTCGAACTGCTCAGTTTCAGGAAACTGAAGCAGCTGTTTAAATAAAACAGTGATGTCTTGTATTTTGTGCAGCAATTTTCTGAACTTACACTCTTCGTCCAAAATAGACTAGATGTCCAGTATCGCGAATATGTGACATACCGATTTGCAGAGCTATGGCCACTTAAATAAATGTATGGGTTTACTTTTGAAATGTGGGTGCAACAACTCGCATAATAAACCAGGTACGATTTGTTTAGTGATTCTTTCTTAATTTGGGCGTTAAAGGGTTAAAAACGAAAGAATAAGAACATAAATGGTGTTTGAAAGAGTGTGGTCGTCCGTAAACGTCTTTTACGTTTTCAGTCTCGTTTTCAAGCATTCATTATAAAAATGCGCTCAAATTGCCTAGCACTACAGGATTATCAGGGACCAGAGTTTCGGCCTCTCTGCTTTCATAATGACCGAATAGGTCCACAGACTACATAGGTCTAAATCGGCATCCGATTGGGGAGACACGATTGTCGCGATCCCAAACGCCGCCCGATACGGGCCGCCTCGGTAGTTCAGTGGATAGAACGTCGGGCTGAAGAGCGAGCGGATGCAGGTTAGATTCCTGACGCAAGACGGGAAATTTTTTTTAGGCAGCAGGAGCCCGACGCGCGTCACGAAGGCCCGGCTCCCTTGGCGGCGTATATGTAGAGTTTGGTCAGTAATTGGTAAAAAAAGGACGAAACTAAGGGCGCGTCAGCAACCGAAATTGTGTCAATGAACCTAGGGCGGGATGATTGACAGCTGTTTTAACCAACCACTAGCCTGAAATACTCCCCTAGCGGAGGCAATAAGCTTAATAAATACCCCTTCTCCCAATCATAATTTCTAGAGAAGGATGCATTTAAGTATTTAACTTTAGCCCGCTGGAGTTGAAATTTGTGACTTTTCGTAAAACAGGGGACCGCACGTGACGTCGCCACGGCGACATTGACAACCCACTCTACCTTTCTCTTGGCGGTCACGACGGAGTCGTCAGTGAAAACTGCGGACTCGGCTCCGTGGGAGTTTTGACCCAAACCAAGAATGCGCACCCCACATTCGCAGTGTCGCCTCATGTTTCAGGGAATTTTCCTCGTCAATGTCGGGTTTCCTGGTTCAGTAAACGCACTAAGCTCCTTGAAACTCCCATTTTCCACCAATCTCTTGTAATTGTTCATTCATTTACTTTCAGCCTCACCCAGAAATAAAAATACCTGTGCCGCGCTACGGGAGTCCTTCGGGGTTATCCCAGCACGTTCTTAATTCGCAACTTGAGGCCGGTTCAGACATTTTCGTTTGAGTGCGTTTCACTGCGTTGCGTCGAGAACAGAGAGCGAGTCACCGGAACATTTGTGCTTCATATGAAGCGTGGAATCCAATTCAAAGAATCATCTTGGCATGAGATATAAGCAGCAGCGATGTCCTGGTTTCTCGCAGCCGCAACGCAGTCAAACGCAGTCAAATGCAACTGTCTGAACCAGGCTTTATGGCGAATTCGCGTGGATCTTTCTGCGCGCTCTCAAATTCTCTGTCCAGAGCGCGCGCGACCGCGAGGTGAAAAGAGAGTGTTGTGGCCTGTTCGGCTGGTTTATTTCCGATGGCGTTTCTCCCTCTCTGAGGGCTCCCTAGCACCTCATCTGTTGCCGTCGAAATGCGGAGCGGCGCAGGCATCGCGCGGTACTTGGTTTTGTTGACGATGTCCGGCAGCGGCTTGTTGTGGTTTGATTATCTGATTCTACGAAGTGCTTGTGCATTCGACGATGCGAGGATTACAACGCACGGGACGGCATTCGTTTGTGAACGTTACAGGAAAAGTCGACGTGGGAAGTATTCGTAGCGCTTTCACGAGATCGTTCATCTCACGGCGGTGAATTCGCTAATAACCAACGAAGAAACAGCTCGAAGAGCTCTGCGGTGTTTTGCCGGGTTTCGTGGTCGCTTCAAGAAACTTTCAGGTTTGGTAAAAGTGCGTTCATTATTTGTGTTGTAAAATGAATGAAGAGTCGAATAAAATTCACTCTGATTTGTGTGACCTGTTGATATGTGCTATATCCTGCATGCACGATATTTCACCGTGAAAAGAATGTGGTTTATTAGCCATTTTTTATTAGCCGACTCTGCCGTACATGACCGCTATCGCAGCGTGTTCGCTGTCGTAAAGCACCTTCGCCGTAAGGCACCTTTTAGCCGTCCTCCGAATGTCCCCGCCGTGCCGGAATGGCCCGTCGAGTGAAACGCTCCATCAAGACGCGACTGCACATTTCAACATGCCGAGTCATTTCGACGTAATGTGATTTTTATTCATAATACCCACTTAGTCGTGATACGATTATACTACGTAGCGCTAAACGGCCAGCCGGGCGATGGGACACTAGCAAGGAGGGTGAAAGCTACGTCACGGTGGCTGGAATTTTCGGAATGGAGACTGCCGATTAAAGAGAAAGAGGGGACAGGCGAATGCTTGGGTTTTGGATGGCTGCTCTGTCTGGGGAAACCACAAAGCCAAAAGACAAATAGCAGGGTAATTTGTTTTGGGTTGCAACTTCACACCAAATCGGTCAGCGAGACTTCGTGTTATGTACATACGCCCTACCCTGTTTGTATATATCATCTGCTCTTCTGAGGGGAAATACAACGTTGTTTTTCTTATCTCATCAAACATGCCTCAAATATTTATGCGTCAGCTTCACCGGCCTACAGGGCAGAAGTTGCCCCTCCTCCCTTGCGAAGTTACAAAAAAAAATAAGTTACTTAGAAGCTTTCAAAATTCGCATAATAATCTATTATCCTGCTCATGGAATGGAACTTTTTTTTATTATGTTTCTCTGATAAGTTACTGTTTGATTATTAAATTACGTACTTTGTTACCGACAAATCATCGCTGATAAAAATACCCCAAATGATTCAGAACAATTGGAAGTCGTAGATGGTAACAAACAAATCAAATTTTGTTCAATTCGTTGGTCCAGCCCAACGCTGTAGTAATTTGATATTTCATGCAACTCACGTAAACAGGATACTCACTGAGACGTATTATGTTTCTCTTGGCAGAAGGCGGCACCGCCTGTTGACTCCCACGTTTCTGGTTCTCTGAAGGAAGTTCTGGCAGCCATTTTTGTCAGCGTTGAACAGGAGTGTAGGATGCACCAAGAAACATGAAGCCTTCTGGGAACTACGGAGAAAAAACAAAGTGAGTACATGAAAACAATGGTGTTTGAAGTCAAGCATTCTTTGTTTGTACTTAGAATTTTGTTTATTGTTAACTTGTTCATTATTTTCCCATAGACACCGGTTGTAGCATTGTCGAAGGAAATATATCCGTTTCTACATAAACGACTTGATTTTCCGAGTATGTTTAATATATTTTATTGAAACAGGGCGTACCTGCAGTGTTGTATTGGTGATGAAGACCACTAGAAAAATTATTTTATACAGTATTGTAATAAAATTTGAATTGGAAGAGCGAAACGAGTGTGTAATATACTAGGTACGAGTCTGGTTCATGTTTTCTTTAATACCGCCTGTTTTGAGCAGATATTGAACCTCAAGATTACACTATTATAACGACTACATTTGCTGTGTTCTTGTTTAGTCAGAACACCAAACATCGCACAATTAGCCGCCAAAGCAGCAAGATAAATAAAACGTAGCCATTTAAAGGTACCTCACGCCTATAAAATTGGACAATTAAGTCTTCAGCCACATTCAATTGTTTGCACACTCAGAAACAAACTCGAAATTTCTAAAAGAACAGAATGTTCATTTCCATTTTGAAGTGCACTAACAGAACCGGAAATGCACAAGCATGTAGATTTATACGAGAGATAGATATATGGGACGCAGCATAAATGTCAGAACAAAAACGCATGCGTGCAAATAATTCACAATCATACTTTGAAAATATGACCAAAATATTCTACGCAATTACGATCACCAAGAAATATGTATATTATATAATGGAAACTACAACCTGAGACTTCGAAAACGGCAAGTCGCATGAGTTTTGTGAGGTAACTTTTTTAAGAGCAGAAACACACCATTGCGAATTTAAAAGAATTTATCCACACATTGCGCTCAAAGGCGTTCTCGTGTACAAAGAAAAAATAACGAGAACATAAGCCTTAATTGTACTGATTGTAATTAAACTGTTCTAATTGTAATTAAACTGTTCTGGGTGTACGAGTATTACTAATCAGAAGTCTGGCTTGTGCCTCAGGACCAGTCTTGGGTAGTAACGCGTTACTAGTAACGCGTTACTGTAATTTCGTTACTTTTTTGGTAACTTGTAACTGTAACGAGTTACTTTTTTAAAAATGTAACGTGTAACTGTAGTTTTATTACTTTTTCTGCGGTAACAATGAAAGTAACGACGTTACTTTTGTCGTTACTTTCCACTTTTTTAAGAATAACATAATTGAATGAGTACAATCTACCTATTCCTTGCACTTTAAAAATTGTCTTCCGATATTTCGAGTGTCAAGTTGGCCTTTTACAAACTTGTGAATACGCGTTCTTTCTCGCGAGTCACGTCCTGATTATTGCCACGTGCAGATTTGATGAAAAAAAATGTAATTATCTTTACGCACGCGCTTTTACTTTGAGACTGAGCACTTACATCTTAGTATCTGAAGCACTATGTTGCGGTGTTCTTTTTCCTGCACAAACGCTTTTTAACCGGGTGAATCAACCATGAATCAACTATACACGCGGAGGGCAATGCGCATGTTTGGTATTTTGATTAGCGCCACTACTCCGCAATGTGCATGTTTCGTATTTTGATTTCGCGCCACTGTACCGGCGTGGTGTCAACAGTTGAGGCAAAACTTTACTGCTGTTTGCACGGGGCTTGCTTCTGGCTTGCCGGGTACGAACTGAAATATGTCCAGGGACTCTATGAACCCAACGCAACCGTCAACGAGCTAGCAATGTGCTTGTACTACCAAGAGTAGGACATTTGTATTGGGTCCGCGTTTGCCTCCATGCAATTCCTTCCAGGGCGCCAGTTGGGCGCCTGTTCAGCAAGGGCAGACATTTCGCCATTAAACGAAGGAAGCTTTCACACAGCAAATTTGAGAAGCCACTGCAACTAAGCCACAATATGAAGTAAAAAGCGCACTTTTTAATTTTATGCAAAGAAACTTGGTGAGGGGCGTTTTCTAGTTTTTTCCTAATTTTTTGTGTTATAGAAAAGTAACTGAAAAGTAACGTCGTTACTTTTTGAAAGTAACTCTAACTGTAACAATTAACTCTTTTGTTGCGGTAACTGTAACGGTAACTTCGCTACTTTTTTCTGAAAATAACTGTAACTGTAACGAATTACTTTTTAAAAGCAACTTACCCAAGACTGCCCAGGACTCCCAATTATTAAATGATAACAAAACATTCCGTACGAAAGTCCACTCAAATTTAGTCTTGGGTAAGAAAAAAGCGAGAAAACATTTGCCCTAAAGGAAGTCTCGCGTATCTGAATCTCATCTGAGGAGGTTGAAACTTGTTAAATTACCGCTCAGGGCTGAAACATATCCTCCCTTTAAATGAGCGAGTCTATCATATTAAATAAATTAACATTGCCCAGGTAGCACGCCAAAGGAATGCCCAACTTGGGCAAAGGTCTGGCAAACATAAGGGCCCAACTTTGGCGCAGTTAGGATTTTGCACCATGGCAATCATCAGTGCCAAAGAACGGTGCCTAACTATAGCCGTAGTTGGGCGATCCTAGGGCATGCCAAAGTTTGGCTCTTCTCTGGAACGCCAGAGGAGCGCCAAAGTTGGTGCCATACCTGGGTCATAACTGCCAAAACAACGCCGAATTTGAGTATTTCGGACATGCAAAGTTTGGCCTTTCTCTGGTCCGTCACAGTTCTGCCAAAATAAGTGCCAGACTTGAACCATAACTGCCAGAGCAACGCCTAATTTGGGTATTTCGGTCACACCAAGTTTGGCTTTTCTCTGGCCCTCCACAGCTGTGCCAAAGTAAGTGCCAGACTTGAGCCATAACTGCCAAAGCAACGCCTAACTTGGGTATTTCGTACATGCCAAGTTTGGCCTTTCTCTGGTCCGCCACAGTTCTGCCAAAGTAAGTGCCAGACTTGAACCCTAACTGCCAGAGCAACGCCTAATTTGGGTATTTTGGCCACACCAAGTTTGGCCTTTCTCTGGTGCGCCACAGTTCTTTCAAAGTAAGTGCCAGACCTGAGCCATAACTGCCGCAATAAATCTTAATTGGCCTATTTTCCAGTTTATATGAGCTTGCGTTCTTTACTTATGCCAATGCTAACCTGAATAAACTTAACTTCAAAATATTTACGTCAATATAAATACAAAATGTTGAAAAAGCACATAAACTGCAAATGATTCCGCTAATGGCCAATAAAGGTGGTGATTATAAAGCTGCGGAGTCTGAAGGGACAGAGGCGATTTTCGGTATCTTCAGGCCAAAAAGAAAAAAAAAACGCCACATTTGATAGCAAACAAGCGAACCAAAAACGTGAGCCCTATTGAGCGGTATTTTAAAAAGGGTGTCTTATTCCTATTTTAAATTCTATCGAGTTCCCAACGCAAATTAGTGCCTTTTTAACGTACCGCCTTCAAAGCAAAGAGCTTTCCGTAAAATGTTCCACCAACAGTCAGGTAAAACAGTCCAACTGATAATCCACGTCAGGTTACGCCGGTTTGGTTGCTTCCTCGTACGATTAGGTGCTGGCCTACCTCTCGATTATTTTGTGTTTCTTGCAGCGACGTATTCCAATGCAAAGGAGGTTATATGCTATTGGAAAGGCGGTTTTCAGATTTTCCGGTGAGTGCACAAGAAAGGAGATTGCGGCAACATGTAGCGTATGCTAAACACGTTTGCAAGTACAACAATTAAGCACCAATATTTTCCTGCCAGGTTCTATGTATCGTCTGATCGAAAAGCCCTGGTAAGGATTGCTCATGAGTACCAACACGGTGCTCCAAGTAAGTATTTTCCACCCAACCGTATTCTTGAGACTATTTGTAAATTCGAACTCGGTTATGCATGTCCAGGAAAAGGCTAACAAAATGGACTATGCTAGCGCGTCCTAGCAAAGGAAGGGGACGTAAAACCTACGTAAATTAGAACCGGTTGGGAAGTACAAGATTGGTATAACGCTGGGATCCTTTGCTCGCCATCGTAATGCGTAGACGTCTGCCGAAGTACCGCAGAGGTGACAGGACAAGGTCTCGCTGGAAGAATAAAACAAATATAGGAAGATTCATGTGGGGATGTGCGAACGGATAAAAAACGACATATCTAAAAAAAAAAAAAAAACATTCGTCTGTTTTAGTATTAATATGTTTATTCAATCAAAAATTTCGCTTGTAAACTTCAACTGCCTCATTTCTAATACATGTTTTTTTGTTTTTTTTTAATTCATAGTAAATCGTTGTTATCTCGGTCGTCGCCTATGATGTTCTCAGCTTTCTTCGCGTTCACCACGCCCACTGTCACTGGTTTCGAGCTGCATTCGACAGAGGGCGCCAGGTGCTATAGGGTTTGAATGGCGGACAGAGAAAGGATTAGAGGGCGTCCCACGTAATGTCACGGGGTTCGTGCAGCATCTGACAGAGGGCGATAGGCGCTATTTGATTTGAATTGTGCCGCGGGAAAGTGGGTCTGGGGGTGTCACTGCCGCGGACGTGACGAAGGTCATGCGATTTTATTTGAATCGCTGTGCGGTAATTCTTTTATTCGCTAAAAAGGTTCTGCGTCGACTGGACATACACCCAGTTTCCTCATGTTTTCATTAAATATGATCCCTGAAAGGTAGAATATTATAATGAGTGCATTTTCTGTGTTTCTGCTGAGTTAGAACACGCACACACATCACATCATAACTCGTGCTAGTTATACGTATTTCGCAAGCAATCGCTATTCACTTCAAGTGTTAAAGCTGTCCTGCCACTTGGTTTTCGTAACCTGGTTCAAAAAATAAATGCGTAAATCGACGGTGCACGTCAGTCACGACGCCATCAATCAGTTGTCATCTTTGCATACATGTGTTGACTTGAGAGCTAATATCACATAACTCGTGTGGCATCCTCCACGGGATTTGTATGCGTCATTGCTGCAGATCATGTGACGTAATATTACATGAGTCACTGCGCGCTAATATGTTTTATCGGTCGTCTTCCTAACGCGTGCTATATCCG